TGTTCATGTAAATGCGGGGTTTTGTGTTGCTGCAGTGGTTGGAGACACATGCATTTACAGATATATAGCACTTTGCTGAAGCGCTTAAATGAATAAGAAGCGAAGATTGCTGGCCTGTTCACCGTCGTCTGAGCTACCCAGGGCTTGCTGCTTTGGCACATACCATTATCTCATCGTTGTGTTTTTTCTTGCCATTGATGCAGCTAGCAACTTCTCCATTCTTCTCAGCACTGAGAGCCGCTCTGATCCATGCGCTTCCCCACAATTCCCTCGTTTGTTTTAATTTTCCAATAAGACCTCCCTGATTACCATTGAAGAAGGCATTCGAGGTACGTATGCTTCACATTTTTGCCGATTCTTAGCTCATCAGAAACGCCGCACAGGTATGATCTAGTGTGGGGGAACTTTTGGTGGTTATGATATACAGCGGATCGACTCTTTGGCCTGAGGAAGTGTGCCGTACAATGTTGTGTTCCACTGAATCGAAAGCTTTGTTGAAATCGACTAAAAACAAAAATAGATGAATTTTTACTCTCTGTCTACTTCTCTTCTAGTAGGTATTTCTGTGAAAAATGTGGTCGATTGTGTTAAACCGCTCTGTGCTTGTTTTATCCGCGAGTTTTTATTAACAATTATTCTTAGTTCACGCACAAGTCGCAAAAATTTCACTTCAGAAAATCCGTGAAATTCATTCGGATAGCATGTTTCGTGCTTTATTGGCGACCGATGGATTTCGCATGCAACTGAGTGGTACCGTTGAGAATGATTATCGTTCTTGAAATCGTGGTGAGCATATTTTATGATAGTAGTTTGTGGGGTTTTTTTGCGAGTTTTAGCTAGTAAATGGACCTAGCCGCCGCTGTACCTTTTTGCTTTGGTATCGCATGAACCTAGGCTAATCAAGTCTGCTAAGATCTAATGAATGCCCGCGAAAAGCCGGCAAAAACTGGGGTTTGATCGCTGTCAGGGGTTGTATCGCAGAAGTATGTGAACTGAGCCGCTTTTTCAAAATAGTTGTGGACCGGCAGGGAATCGAACCACTCCTTCTTGAGCCTAAATACAACGTGCTACCCAGTACACCACCGCTTCGCTGTACTCCTAGTTCAGTCAGCTAGCACATCTGCTGTGTATCTGCCCTCAAAGCAATGAATGCAGCACGAAATTACTAATCTGTGCGGGAAAGCAAAGCCAAAATAAAAAGGGAATACCGCTTGTTGATGGGACGACAGGCGATACCATGATTTTCGTAGAAAGTTTGGAGGGAGATTAAGCCAGCTTCCACAAGAACACTTGAGGACAATAATAGTGGATATAAAAATAATAGTGTTCATAGTGATAATAAGGACAATAATAACAATAAAAATGACAAATAATAATAATAACGATGATAATAACGATAATAATGATTGTAGTAATAATGGTAACATTAATAATAATAAAAGTAATGTTAATTCTCTGTCTTCTTGATACATACAAGATTTGCAGAAAGCATTTTTAGCTCCATTGTCTGATTAAAAAATTATTCCAGTGAGCGACAAGTTCGGTCGCGGCGCGATGGCAGGCTTTATCGTTCCATGATGCATTGATCTTCGAGAAATCAACTGCTGCATCATAGGGCAATGAAAGGATCAAGCCCCAGTGAGCATCATATCACAGAAGTCGATGTATGCCGCTTGTTTTGATCATTTTTTTTTTAAAATAAGCCACTAGGTTTTAATATTTTGGGAGTGACCTCTTTCGAAGCTTCATTCTAACAAAATTGGCCATCTCTACAGAATGTATGAAAGGATATTGGTGCAAATCTATGCTTTTTTGATACCTCTCATTGATACTGTGATTATATAAACTAAGCAGGATGAGAAAATATGAGCTGTTTTCGTGTAAATTTTCATTAACACTCAAAGCGATTAGTGCGGTTGTTATTCAGTGGTGGATATGAACTGGGGACAGTTTAAATCGGGGCAGTTTCTGGGTCAAACACCACACTAAGTGTTATAGAAGTGTTTGGCATTGCTGGCCCATCACTGTAGAGAGGAACACAGTCGAATTTTGATAATATTAAAACACTGGAAGTAGTGCCATTTAGATCTCCCAAATAAACAAGCCTGTGTATGTACAATTGTATGTGTGACATACACTAACATGTGTAAACAAGAGAATTTTAAACAGCATTTGAATTGCATACTATATCGAACAAAAACTGTAGTGGAAGGTAGCAAGCAGTGCAGCTCTATGTGGAATAGTTAAAAGAGTTTGAAATGGAACTTTTAATATAATTGGAGAGGGGACATAAATAAAGAATATGAAGTAAAAGAAAAGTTACAGATGGATTCGATGGACAGGGTGACCGTTGTGCGGGATTTTTCGGTGCTCGGACAGACCAAAATCCCGAATGTAAGATTTTTGAGATTTAGCAGCCGCGTTCGTTTATTCTTGAGTTGAGCCCCTTCTCCAAATTCTTTTCTTGCCTTCCTTTCTCCTACCCATTTCCCTCCTCAACCCCCTCTCTTCCCCTACTTTCCCGCTCTTCTCTATCCTACTGTGCTTTACGCTGTTTTTTGGCGGATGCATGTCAGACTGAGCACTTTAGCAGCTGCATCCAGGTGCTAGTATTCTGACTATTAATGGTTCCCCTACGAGGGATATCTTTGAGGCAATTTCTGCTCTTTCGAAAGTTGCCTTGAAGACAGCTAAAAATGGTTTTTGCCCCCTTAACTTGCTGGAAACACAAGTTTTCGATCTCCTTCCAAGCCGAGCGATGCATTTAAATCGCAGCAGCCCCCTGTCCGATCTGGATCATTGCATTCCACGGGATTTGAGCTGCTGATTACTGCCAAAGCGTACAATTCCGGTCAATGCTTATTGAGGAGAATGGTCAAATCATGTTGCAGACACATGCTGCTTCGCTTGCCGTCGATTCAGTTAAAGAGTCGGAAATTTTGGAATGCATCGAAGCGGCATATTTCATTGAAGAAGGATTCGATGCTACTGACTACGAGCTGAAGGTACGCTCCGTGCCGAATGCCTAGCGGACAAGCTTAGGGCTTGTTTATATTGTTGTTTTGCGTAAATCTTCGCGACATGCTTCTGACGTGAACGTGCGCTTCTGATTCTGGTTCTTCTGGTATGTGCTCGAATATTCACTGGAACGGTTGCAGAAAGTGGTAGCCGGTGAAGGGCTGGAAGATCTTGGCGGAGAAATGGAGAAACTCAAGCAGCAGCTCCAAGTGGTTTCGAGACGCATCTCCGCTCTGATTGTGCAGAACTCGCCGTCCTATTCAGCACAGCTGAAAGACATTGGCGAAATGCAAGCCAACTTGTCCAGCATCCTTTCAGCCGTCCAAAATATTCGAAGGTTAACATTATATATTTACCACAGGAAAG